TAAAATTAGAGATCGGCCGTTACAGGTTCTTTAATGATACTGATTTTTTTATTTGACATAATTCCGCCAATTTTTGGAGCAGTTATTTATTTGAAGTAGATGTTGCTTTTTCTTCCTCCATTTAGAGGGTAAAATGAAACGATAACAAATGTTGCACAGCTCTCAATTTAAATAAATAAAAACACATTTATGAACAAATCAAGCAAAAAATGAATGTATATAAAAAATATAGGGAATGCCTCTATCGGCCATTACAAGAAAAATACACTAATACCAGCTTAAATATAGGCCCAGCTTAAATATAGGCCAGGTGGTGTATTTGTTTAGCTCTAATTGAAACATTATTTTTTCTGGAACTGTAGCGACATTTTACATGTAGAGTAACCCTCCTGTTTTATTATAGAACTATATTATACAGAAGGAGTGTTGTCTTAAATAATCAGGGCCTCAGTGTTTATTGTGTCCCATGTGTGAGAACTGCTTACTATAACACTTTTGGCACCTTTGCTTTCACTGCTCACGTTTCTCCTCTCCTTAACTCCCGGGTTGTTGGCTTTACCTCATTGTGCAGAGCTACAAGAGAGCTATAGGGGAGGTCAGTAGCACTGTGTCCGTGTGTTGATCAAAGCTTTGCAAGTATGCATGCATTTCTTTTGCTGGTAAATGTTCACCCAGATGTGATTAAACTCCCGCCACAGGCTACATTCTTTGGGTTTATCAAGGTTTTGTTCATTACCTGAAAAATTGTAATCTCAGCAGCATTTTGCTCCTTTTCTTAAATTGTTTAACTTTTTTTTTTTTTATTCCAGCTTTTTGTAAACTTCCATTCAATATCTCTGTTACGTCTGCTTGTCATTAATTTGTTTTATTGATTACTGTTGTAAGCATGTGCATGTTCTCTTGGACGTTTTTTTATTTTATTTTTTAGGTTGTATTGCTAAGAGTTTTAAGTCTTTTATGTAAATTATGATTGTGTGTGCAGGACCATGGTCTCTATGCTAAGGAGCGTGCTGAGGAGCCACCACGACCCCCAGTTAAGGCCAACGATTACTCCTCCTCTTCAGAGAGCAGCGAGAGTAGTGAAGAAAGCGAGAGCGGCGAGGGGCCAGAGGAGGAAGAAAGTCCAACAGATCGGTAAAATAAGAGATAACATTCTCATAAGCTCTTCTGAACATTCAGGAAGCTAAACACTGCTAGGGATTTTCAGGTCTTATCCCAGGGGATAATCTGAAGGTTTCTTTTCAGATGACCCGTGTTAGAAGTCCTTAACTCCAGATACCCCGATAGGACTGCTGTTTGAGAGTCAGAGTTTTTTTTCAATAGTAGCTTGATATCACATAGAGATCATTCACCGTTCTTCCTTTTGACAATATAACAACAAATTAAACGAGTAACCCCTGGATACTGGCATGCCAGTTGCAGTTGTAGTGACTGATAGTTCTGTCATCAGCCAATACCAATGTAATTATAATTGCAGAGTTGCATTTTATTTATATATATATATATATATATATATATATATATATATATATATATATATATATATATATATATACTGATGCTTCTAAGTAACAACAAATGTAGTATTTTACTGAAAAACTAGGTTTGGATAACAGCCGACTGATTGCGTAAAGGGCAGATTATACTTCTGCAGCCACACACATCAAATGTCGCTTGCATCTGGTTGCAAACCAGTTTTGCTGGTATACTTCTGCAACATTGGTCTGGAATTTGTCGGGACGCACAGCAGTTTCCTGCCAAAGCACAAGGGGGAGCCTATTCAAGAACTAGCGAGAACTTCTTCGGCGGCGCCAGCGGGAATGTTTATTTTCCAAAACAACATGTGTGAGGCATCGTATAAGTGTTGTACTTCCGAACCTCCTCGATCAACCTTTTTGTCATGGTTATTCATTCCTCAGTTTTTAAAAATGGTGCTCCCCGGCACTGAATTGAGAAGGACAGACAGCCGGAAAGGCATACCAAGGACCAATCACAGCTGCTTTTTGTCTGCGCACTT